ATATAATTATTAATCAATTTAAAAATACTTGACTGCTATGCTTCCTTTCTTTGGATGTTAAAAAAATTAAATGCATGTGTGAGTTCTGTTTGTATGATACGTGGTTCAGATAATAACACAGATTTGCAGAATGCTCATCCGTACTGTTTAAGCACGTAACAAATGTTCATGGTACCATGCAGTTGCAGAGACCAATCACCATTGCAATAATGAGACAGGCTCTGAAGTGTATCACGGTGGCACATGGTTTTGAACAATTTTGGCTTTTGACTTTGTGTACTTCATAGAATTTTTAAAATTTAAAAACTGACTCGAACTTTGTATCGGTATCTCTATCATAGAGCTAACACGGGATTTTGATGAATTATCTGAAATTCTGTGGTTGATGTTGCTAGGCTTTTAATAGAGGTTTTTGGAGGGTGTGCCTTTTGGTCTTCAAGGCAGGTTATAAGCTTTAGGTAGCAATGATCATTAAGTAGTAACTTTGTAGGGGTCAGTGATGAATCTAAATTTTCTACCATAAAGAAGACTTCAGAGTTTATCCATGCCCATGATTTTTCAATGCTTTTTGGTACTGGAATATCTCTTCCCCGTCCCTCCTCTCCCAAATTAACTTTATATAGCTTCCCAAAAAAGCTCCTTAATTTACCTGTCACTACTGAGAGCTAGCCTTGAGATAGCTAGGGCTCAAAGGATCCAGTCTGAAAAACTATTCAGGGTTTTCTAGCACAGAAACATACTGTGGTTGCTAAAGTACTAAAATGGATTGATAAGTGGTCTATTTTAAATTTTTCTTACACCTAGCCTATCTTTATGTCTGTGTCATGTTTCATTTGGCATTTTTAACCATCTTCATAATTTCTTCTTATTGCTACAGAGAAAGCTTAGTCATTTATACATTGACTATTAAAGCATGTGGTAAGATGAATAAATGTAGAAATTATTATCCATGGAGGTATCTATATCTCTATCTATATTCATATATTCACACACACACCCCTAGACAGATGCATATGTATGTATATGTGTGTATGCACACACATACACAGTCACA